GACAGATTGACTGGAGAACTCGGCCAGTCATGATCAGCCACGCGCAGAGGGGGGTGGGGGGTGGGGGGAGGGTTTCTTAGAAGCACCCCTGCTTCTTAGAAGGCGCGGGCCTCATCTACACACGTGAGGCCGGCGCCTTCTAAGAAGCAGCCTCCTTCTGAGCAGCCCTCCCCCCTCCCTCCACCCCCCTCTGCGCGCCGCCAACATGATGGGGGTGGGACTGGAGGAAGGATTGCAAGAAGGATGGCAAAAAACCAAGGATTGCAGGATTGCAAAAAACCCAGGAAGGATTGCAATCCTTCGGTTTTTTGCAATCCTTGGTTTTTTGCAATCCTTCGGTTTTTTGCTATCCTTCGGTTTTGTGCAATCCTTCGAGGAAGTACGTAACGAGAGGCCCGGTGCGGTGCGCGCGGCCGCCTGCGCCTGCCAGGAGGCGCCCGGCGGGGGCGGCGCGTGCCTGGCAGGGGGCGGCCAGGCTCGGCGCCCCTGTGTGTCGGGAGGGGAAAAAACACACAGACACAATGAATCGTCGATTCCCAGGAAAATATGGAAAAGTATGGGAAGTGGGGGGGGAAGACAAAAACCAAGAGAATATTTGAAAATGTGGGGAATCTTTTGATTTGTGTATACTTATTTGTGTGTCTCAGGGCCCCTTCAGTGTGCTGGAGGTGGCCGACGGCGGCTTGAGCCAAAAGGGCTTGAGCCAGAAGGGCCACGGAGAGGAAGGGAGGGGGGAGGAGGGGGGAGAGGGGGGAGCGCAACGGGGAGGGGGAGCGCAGCGGGGAGGGGGAGGGAGGGGTGGGGAGCGCAGCGGGGAGGGGTGGGCGAGGGGGGAGCGCAGCGGGGAGGGGGGGGGAGCGAAGAGGGACGGACGGGGAGGCGGGGGGGCGCGCTGCGCACCGCCGTCGAGGGCTGCCGAGCGCAGCGACCCGTGCGCCCGCACAGCGGTCGGATTTCCAGGACCACGTTCTTGGCTGCTGTTTTGGCCCATGGGCTGGCGTGGATGGGGGGGGGGGGCTGCTGCACGTCGTGCTGTGAGGGCCGTCTGTGAGGGCCGAGGCACTGCTGCTGCTCAGCGTCTTTGCAGCGTCCTCTTCTGCATGGTACCACACATGTGCGAATTTTACTTGCAGTTGCTGCCGATGCGCCGTCAGGGCGCGGCTTATTCGTTTGTTCGTTCGGCGCCTGGGTTCTGGTGCGGTCCCAGGCCTCGAGGCCTCTCGAGCAGGGCCCAGGCAGAGAGGGTCGGAGGGTGGCGCCGCATCTCCGACGCGTCTGCAAGGCGACTCACTGTGGAGCCCGACGTTCTCCGCGCCGACGGCGCCGATGCATCGGCGGCGACATGCATCGGCGGTGCGGCGTGATCCTCCAACTCCATGTCCTCGCACCCCATTTGGGAGCCCCGCAAGGCCCCCTGGACGGGTTTTCAATGGGCGCGGGACCTCGGCGCGATGTCAGGTGCTTCCATCGGCGGCGATGCGTCGGCGGTGCGGTGTGATCCTCCGACCCCATCTCCTCGGACCCCATTCGGGAGGCCTGCAATGCCCCTGAACAGGTTTTCAATGGACGGGGGACCTCCGACTGGATGTCAGGTGCTTCCTTTTGGTACGTGCCCTCGGGTTTTCCACGAATGCGGGACCTCGGCGAGATGGCAGGTGTTTCTGTTTTGTACTGACCCTCTCTGCTTCTCGACTTCGTTTCTTCCCTTCAGTCGGGTATGTCCGCCCACCCGAGAACTATTCTCAAATCGCCAAAATATAGTCTGGGATGTTTTTCCCAACCATCCTGTGGTGTTGGGTCCTCGTTTTGAAGAGACGGTCCCCGCGTCCTCCTCTCCTCTCTTCTCCTCTCCTCTCCTCTCCTCCTCTCCTCTCCTCCTCTCCTCGTCTCCTCTTCACCCACCCAGTACACCGTTTCGTGGCCCCATAGGGAGCTCCGCCGAAGGCCCCAGTGCTGCCGCCCGCATGCGTCGCACCCAATTCGGCACACCGCTCACACGCTTCGTGGCCCCATAGGGAGCCCCACCGAAGGCCCCAGTGCTGCCGCCCGCATGCGTCACCCACACCCAATTCGGAACACCCCTCACACGTTTCGTGGCCCCATAGGGAGCCCCACCGAAGGCGCCAGTGTTGCCGCCAACATGCGTCACCCACATCCAATTCGGCACACCCCTCACACGTTTCGTGGCCCCATAGGGGGCCCCACCGAAGGCCCCAGTGCTGCCGCCCGCATGCGTCGCCCACACGCAATTCGGCACACCCCTCACACGTTTCGTGGCCCCATAGGGAGCTCCACCGAAGGCCCCAGTGCTGCCGCCCGCATGCGTCCCGCACACCCAATTCGGCACACCCCTCACACGTTTCGTGGCCCCATAGGGAGCCCCACCGAAGGCCCCAGTGCTGCCGCCCGCATGCGTCCCGCACACCCAATTCGGCACACCCCTCACACGTTTCGTGGCCCCATAGGGAGCCCCACCGAAGGCCCCAGTGCTGCCGCCCGCATGCGTCCCGCACGCCCAATTCGGCACACCCCTCACACGTTTCGTGGCCCCATAGGGAGCCCCACCGAAGGCCCCAGTGCTGCCGCCCGCATGCGTCCCGCACACCCAATTCGGCACACCCCTCACACGTTTCGTGGCCCCATAGGGAGCCCCACCGAAGGCCCAGTGCTGCCGCCCGCATGCGTCCCGCACACCCAATTCGGCACACCCCTCACACGTTTCGTGGCCCCATAGGGAGCCCCACCGAAGGCCCCAGTGCTGCCGCCCGCATGCGTCCCGCACACCCAATTCGGCACACCCCTCACACGTTTCGTGGCCCCATAGGGAGCCCCACCGAAGGCCCCAGTGCTGCCGCCCGCATGCGTCACGCACACCCAATTCGGCACACCCCTCACACGTTTCGTGGCCCCATAGGGAGCTCCACCGAAGGCCCCAGTGGCGGCGCTCACATGCGCATGCGTCCCGCACACCCATTTCGGCACATCCCTGACAGGTTTCGTGGCCCCATCATCCACCGGAGGCCCCAGTGGCGGCGCTCACATGCGTCACCCACACCCACCCAATTCGGCACACCCCTCACACGTTTCGTGGCCCCATAGGGAGCTCCACCGAAGGCCCCAGCGGCCGCGCTCACATGCGTCCCCGCCACCCATCCCGGCACGCCCCTCACAACAACAGGTTTCGTGGCCCCATAGGGAGCTCCACCGAAGGCCCCAGTGGCACCGCCCGCATGCGTCACCACCCGCACCCAATTCGGCACACCCCTCACACGTTTCGTGGCCCCATAGGGAGCTGCACCGAAGGCCCCAGTGGCGGCGCTCACATGCGTCCCCGCCACACATCCCAGTACACCCCTCACGCGCTTCGTGGCCCCATAGGGAGCTCCACCGAAGGCCCCAGTAGCGGCGCTTACATGCGTCTCCGCCACCCATCCCCCCCCCCCCCCCCGCAGCAGCATCATGTTTCGGGGACCCATAGGGAGCTCCACTGGAGGCCCCAGTGGCGGCCCGCACATGCGTTTCCGCCACCCATGTCGGCACGCCCCGCGCGTGTTTCATGTCCCCATAGGGAGCTTCGCCGAATGCCCCAGTGGCACCCATCTCGGCACACCCCTCACACGTTCCGTAGTCCTATGGGGAGTTCCATTGAAGATGAAACCCGCAGCTGCGGTAGTGACAACTGCATATGGTTGGGTTCTTCGCCAGGCTAATTTTTTGTTTATTCTGACTATGTTCGAATATTTGTCGAATCTGTTTTATTTTTCTTCCGACATCCCCCTGTAGGGGGACATGCCCGACCAAATTCTTTCCATTCCCCGCCGTTTTCTTTGCCTATTCGGACAGTGTCCGAATCTTTGTCGAACCTGTTTCATTCTTTCTTACGACATCCCCCACGGTAGGGGGGCATGCCCGGCCAAATTCCTGCCATTCCCCACCCCCGGCGACCCCGCCCCGGTGGGATGCACCCCTCGGCGTCGGTGGGTCGGTCACGCCCTCTGGTCCGGGGCATGCGCAGACGAGCCTCTGCTCTTCCCCACCCCCGGGGCAGGGGCAGCGCTGCCGTCGGAGCTCTGGGGCCGCTCGAGATGGGGTCGGCAGGAGGGGTCGCTTGCTCCGAAGATCGGAGGCGGCAAAGGGAGGGGTGATGACTAGGGGGGGCGGATCTCATGGCATGGGCCATGATATTTCCCCGGATCTCATGGCGCCTCCTCTTCTTTCAGTGCGTCCCTGGTCCCCCCACCCCTCTGGGCCGCGCACATGCCGCCGGCCATGATTTGCGCTCTTGGACGCCCCCCTCTTGGCCGCCCCCGAGAAGAAGGAACATCGCCATCACCATCAACTTTTGGCGCTCCGCGCGGATCTGTTGGATCCGCGCCAGGCCCAGCGCCAGGGAGGGGGGCCCAGCGCAGATCCGCGAAGTCCGCGCGGAGCGCCAACGCTTATGTTTGAACCGTTTTTCCTTTTTTCTACTGCTTTCAAGTAGGGCCCTGCAGGGCCTGGACCTGGTCAGTGGTTGGACTGGCACTGGGCCTCAGTTCGAATGCCGATTCTCACAGTGATTCTTAGATCGGCTCCTATAGCGATTCCCACAGCGATGGTTGGACGCTCAGTTCCTGAGAGTGCCTTCGTCATTGAGGGAGCGAGGGTTTGACATCCCCACTTTGCGAACGCATTTGTAGGTCAATTCGTAGTGCGTGGTGGCCCGCATGGGCGCTCTTTAGGATAATAGCAAGGTGACGGGTAGATGACACGTCATGCTCAGTCAAACAGTGCAATGGTGGCTGCACAACTGGGCCCGTGGCTGATCGAGAACCCAAACCCCTGCCAGAAGACTACGGATCACGATGCTACGCGCATTAACGAGCCAGAATTGTTTCGCTTGGTGTGTGTGTGTGTGTGTGACTCGATAACGCAGGGCCAGGGTTGCGTTCATGCCCTAAGTCCTTAGCCAGTTTAGCTCAAGCCGTATTTGAGTCGTCACATGTTTGCATACTGCTACTATGGGACCTTCAGGCACTGCCGTTGTTGTCAACAGGGCTGGCTCATGTGCAGAAGTGCCAGACGATTTGCTGTGTCCAGTGTTGCAGACGGTTATGAGGGATCCTGTTGTGAATCTTGCTGGCAATACCTACGATCGCGTCGCTTTGCAGAGAATAACGACTCGCGTCTGCGGACGGTGTGTGGACCCACTTACAAATGAGATTCTATCACATAGCATTTTGATCCCAAATTGGGATATGCGGCGAAGAGTGCAATCGTTTTTAGACATGCACCCAGGATACGTGCCAGATGGTTGGCCTGACCGGAGGATGCCATTGCCAGCCTCACCGACAATCCCGGTCGATGGATGTGTGATTTGTGAAGGACTGGTGGTGATGATAGTGATATGTTTGTCATTCGTTGTGACTTTTAACGCGTTGGACGTATTCAGCTGCCTGCGGTAAACTCCGCCACTGCGCCACCGCAGCAGCTCAGCAGGAGGGTCGAGTTGCACACCCGTTGCCCCTCGGTAGCCGGATACCCACGATAATAATGTACCCCCCTATACACATAAGAGTTGATTATCCACGGCCAATAAGAGTTTGGTCGGGGGCGCGGGGGCGCGGAGGCCGAACTTCATTATCACGGGGAAAAGTTCGCCATCGAGGTTACTTCCTTCTTATGTTGAGATAGCAACATCAAGCGAAGCGAACACGTTTTTTTCAGGATGTCTCAAGCGAAACCAATGTCCTTCTGTCTCTTTGTAATTCTTTATGTCTTTCTTTCTTTCTTTTTTTTCTCTGTCTCTCTCTCTCTCTGTCTCTCTATCTCTTTCTCCTCCTCCTCCCTCTGGCGCCCTGAACTTGTTTATCGCTGGGGTTGAATATCCTGGGAAAACGAGGCACGTGAGCTACCCTACACGAGCAGATGCAAATGTGAGTTTCCATTAAGCGTTTACAAATTAAATCCAATAAGTTTTAAACTTTGGATGTTTGCTATCTCCTTCTCCTCTCCTCCTCTTGCTCTTTCTCCTCCTCCTCCTCCTCTTCCTCCTCTACCTCCTCTTCTCGTTTTATATTTCTATGTATCTCTCTATCTTTCTTCTCCTCCCCCTGCCCTCCTGAACTTGTTTATCGCTGTGGTTGATTATCCTGGGAAAACGAGGCACCTGAGGAATCTCTATAGAAACTCCGAGCTTCAGTTCCGTATTATAGAAATATTAGAAGCCGACACGTTCCTTCAGCCTCCTTAAAGGGCTCCCGAATTGTCAATTTCGTTTTTGGAATTACATGCTGATTTATTAATGGTGAATAATATAGAAGTGAAGCTCAGAGGCGCGCGCGCGCACCTCCGAGCTTCAGTTCTGTATTATAAGAATATTAAAGGCCGACGCGTTCCTTCAGGATGTTTCAGAGAGGACCAAAAGCTAAGGATGTCTCAAGATATCCTCGGCTTTGGCTCCTCTGTTAACATCTGTATGCTGGTCTTGGTGGGCAACTTTTATTATCACACCGTAGCCGCCGAACTTTATTCTCCCTGGGGGGTTATTCTCGAGCGTATATGGTTACCCCATCTGAGCTGGCGCTGGCCTCGCCATCCCCTCCTTGTCCGCAGCCTCTTCTGTCCCTCTCTTCCTTCGTGTTTGAGGGCCTCTTGGGGTCCTCTTGGGGTCCTTCTGGGGGTCTCTGGGGAGATTGAGGATTCTGAGGATCGTTCGAGGTTTCTGGGGCCTCTGGGGGGCTCCCTCTGGGGGTCTCTGGGCTCCATCTGGGGGTCTCTTGTTGGAGGTCTCTTGGGGGCCTCTTGGCGTCCCTGCGGGCGCCTCTGGGGAGATCTTTCGCCCGTGTGGGGACGGTGTCTGGGGTCCGCCGTGGGTCTCGGAACTTGTTTCGGGCGCGAGGTGTGCCCAGCTCTTCGCAGAAAGCTCGCCGCCTTCGAGCCTGCTTGACCCGTCTTCAGGGACTACAGTCGATTCGCCTAGTAAGGACGCGCGCCTTCATCTAGGGCATCGTTGTGTCCTCGCCTCTGCGGCCGGTCCTTTGCCGTTTTCCTTGGTCGCCCGCTGCCCAAAGAATCCCGACTTCGGCCTCCAAGGGTCTTGCGTCCTTGCCACCCGTCCTTAAAACACGTTTTGACTGTGTCGGGCAATCTTGGGACCGTCTTGAGGCCCTTTTGGGGCGTTTTGTGGGGCTCTCTGGGACTATCCCAGGCCGGTCCGAAGCCAGGCGGCTTGGACGCAGCATGCGCTTAAACGGATTTCGGCTTTTCAGTATTTGTTTGTATCCTATGACCTCGCGATTCGCCTTCTTGGGCGCCTCTCGCTTTTGTGTTTGTGTTTGTTTGCATCCTTGGGCCGATAGGGGACATTGTTGAGCCGTTCGGAAGCCGCTGGGCCGTCACGAGCTGGTATGTGAGCATCTTGCAGCCGTCGTGGAGCGATGCGAGGCCGTTCGCAGGGACGTGACTCGATGTACAGACCACGTGGGTTGTAGATTACAAACAAGGACTTCAGTGGAGGAATTCGATGTGTAGACGCTCCAGCGCCCCACGGGTAGGGAAGCTGGTACGTTTATACACCGTGCTTTATGATGCTCCAATCTAATTTAGCATTGATCACCAGGAAGAAATTCGAGCACCCAAACAAGTGCCGAAGCTAGAGGGTTTTCACGTGTCGGGCCCTGAGGGACCCTCGCCCGACACTGTTTCGACACTCTTTCGATACTTTTCCGGCTGCTCGAAATAATTTCCGGGATGTGGTCCTTACGTACGGTGGGAGCAACATCAATCGTGCTCCTTGGCCGACCAGACGACTTGATGTACACTTCGAGCCCCTCCCAGCTGCCCCGGAGCCGTCCGGAGGCCAGGAAGAGCGCCGCAGAGCCAAACCAGGGAAGCGATCTTCGGCGGGTGCTTGCAGCGAGCAGGGTGCGGCTTCGACGAGAATCCCACAGCGGCGCCCGCGGCAATGGCCCTGGGCCGATGTGCCACCACCACTGCCATGGGCATGACGGGGCAGAAGGGAGAGAGGGGAGCTCCTCCTCCTCCTCCTCCTCCTCCTCCTCCTCCTCCTCCTCCTCCTCCTCCTCCTCCTCCTCCCCTCCTCCCTCTTCTACCTCATAGTAGCGGTGGTGGAAGCAAAGTCGGCCCAGCAGAGGGGCCCTTGCCTGCCGGGCAGGCAGGAAGGCCCTGCTGCAGGCCGGCGGCGCCGCCCGTGAACGTCCGCCGGCCGCTCGGCGCCAGCCGGCGGTTCCGCGTCCTCGTGCTTCGGCGGTTCTCAGCGGGCTCGGCCGGTCTGTGGTGCAGTCCTGCTGGGCCTGTTTCCCACCACCACCACCAGAAGTTGGAGGGGGAGGGGGTCCTCCTCCTCGTCCTCCTCCTCCTCCTCGTCCTCCTCCTCCTCCTCCTCCTCCTCGTCCTCCTCCTTCCCCCCTCCAACTCATGGTGGTGGTGGTGGAACACAGGCCCATCGAGTCCCTTCAGTCGGCTGGACGGTTCAGCCGGTGCTGCTCCTAACACTCGAGGAGAAAAAACGGCACAATCATAAACATACATGTTTGGCGCTCCGCGCGGATTTTTTGGATCCGCGCTGGGGCGCCCCCCGTCGGCGCCTCCGGCGCCTCCCCTGGCGCGCTTCGCGCAGATCCAAGAAGTCCGCGCGGAGCGCTAGATGTTTGTGTTTACGCTGTTGTTTGTTCCTCTAGGTTCTGCTCCTGACATGGTACGCGATCGGTTCGTGCCAGGTCCATCGGGCCAGTTCAGCTTTTCGCGACCTACCGGAGAGGGATAACTTTCCATTCCCCTCTTCAGTGGTACCCTTCTCTCTAGCTCTTCGCGGAGTTCTTCCATATCTGAGCGCTTCGTCCCTCCTCCCATCGCGCAGCCGCCCTCGTCTTCATTCCTCCCTCTTGCCCGCTGGACAATTCGCCTTTCGGTTGCCCCGATTAGCTTCACGCTGGTGCGGACTGCCTCTGCCTCGCCGCCGACGAAAATGTTTCCCCTCTCCTTCGTCCTCCTCCTCCTCCTCCTGCTCTTGCTCCTCCTCCTCCTCCTCCTCCTCCTTCTCCTCGGCTGATCTGATTTCCCCGCTGCGGCGTTCGAGCTGTCACGTCTTGTGTTGTGGCGCTTCGAGTGTTGTTGTGTGCTACCAGAGGTTCGATGAATGATCGATCGGATCGTAAGGGGATGCACGCACCGAGCTTCAATCCGTCTGCCTCGCGCTGTGTCTGCACATGGCTCGTGGTGCGACCGGCACGCGTACACGAGCTACGGGGCCAGCGCCGAGTCGTGTGGACGCTTGCGATGGCAGAAGAGCTCAGTGTCTCGCGTCCCGAGCGGCCTCCCCTTCGTCTTGTCGGCAGTTGGTTGGCGCGGCCAGGCTCTCGTTCAGTGAGCGTCGGCCACGCGCAGAGGGGGGTATGGAGGCACCCCTGCCTCTCAGGGGGCGCGGGCACTGTCCACAAGTGTAGGGCCCGCGCCCTTTGAGAAGCGGCCCCCTTCAAATTGGCCTTCAGGTTCCCCCCTCCCCCTACCCTTGGCGCTAGTTGTGCAGGGCGGTTCCATCTCATGGCGGGGCTCTCGCCAGGACGGCATGCCCCTGGGGCGCTCTTCTTCCAGGGGGGCGCCTGCCAGAATTAAGTAGAATGCCTCCTTGGACTTGTGAGGAGGGGAGGAGGAGGAGGAGGAGGAGGAGGAGGAGGAGGAGGAGGAGGAGGAGGAGGAGGAGGAGGAGGAGGCAGAGGAGGAGGACGAGGAGGAGGAGGAGGAGGAGGCGGCCGAGCTGGCCGGCTAGCGGCCCGGACGACGCGGAGCCCTTCCGGTCCGTGAAGATGCTCTATTGGTTAGTGTTGGCGCTCGAGGAGTTCAGTGGTGGGGGCGCGTGCGTTGCACAGATTCGTCGCTGCATCGAGGAGGAGGAGGAGGAGGCGGAGGAGGAGGGGGAGGAGGAGGAGGAGGAGGAGGCGGAGGAGGACTATGATTGTCCCCCCTCTGCGCGCCGCCAAGAGCGAAGAGCGCCCGTGCGCGCCCCGTGGGCGCCTCCGTGCGCCTGCCCGGCGCGCGGCGCCTCGTGGGCGCCCGTCCGTGCGCGGGCCGGGCGCGGCCAGGCCCACCCCAGTGGGGAGGCGGGCGCCCCGAGGGCACGCTGCGTGCGCTGGGCCGGCGCGGCCACGCTGTCTCGGGCGCGCCGGCGCCTCCGCCCTCCTCCTCATCCTCCTTGTCCTCCTCCTCCTCCTCCTCCTCCTCCTCCTCCTCCTCTTCCTCGTCCTCCTCGTTCTCCTCTTTCTCCTCCTCCTCCTCCTCCTCCTGCTGCTCCTCCTCCTCCTCCTCCTCCTCCTCCTCATTCTCTTCCACATCCTCCTCCTCGTCCTCTTCTTTCTCCTCCTCCTCCTCCTCCTCCTCCTCCTCCTCGTCGTCTCCCTCCCCCTTTTCCTGCCAACCTTTTCGCCCTTCGTCCTCATTCCTTATCAAGTGCCCGCCTTCCTCCCCCTCCTAGTCACCCCACGACGGATGCAGTGGGCTGCCCCTCCGCCCCGGGTGGTCGGGGGCAGCGATAGGTCGGGGGCCTTGAGACGGGGGTCAATGCAAGCGGGGCACCCGATCTTGCAGGATCCTGCGGAGACCCCCCCTGGCTGACCCGGGTTAGCGAGCCGCTCGTGGCCGCGAGGCGCCGCGCATATTGGTTGACCCGGGTTTGCGAAGACCTGCGTTGCGGTTTTCTTTCCTGCATCGCAGTTTTTGGTGTCCTGCTGACCCTGGTATGGATTGACCCGGGTCAGAAGATCCCCGAATAGGGGGGGATGGGCATAGGGGGAATGCATCGACATCGATCCCCGATCGTCCATTGGTCGCCGATATGGGGCCCGATAGCCCCAACCCCTGCCCATGAACGTGCGGATGCACTATCGGAGGCCTATCGCCGATTTATCGGCGATGTATCGCCGATTCCAGGTCGACGCATGCCCCCCTATGCCAGTCCCCCTTATCGTTGCCCCTCAGGTGGGCGCGCGGTGGCCCTGGGTGTCCCGCCGTGGTGACCTCTGGTGTTCCTGCGGTGTCCCGTCGGCGTTCCGTCGGCGGGTGGCGGGCAGTGTCTGGGGCTGTCCCGCCTAGGTATCGATAGTAGAGTCGAGAGTGAGATCGATACGGATATCGCCAGAGTGGGATGGAGAGTGAGATCAAAAATGAGATCGGCGATGAAGTTGGTTGTGACACTGGTTGTGCTCGCGCTTTGGGATGCGCAAGGGGGCGACGCCCCCCGGGTCGTGCGACAGGCGATCTCCCCTGGGGCGGGCGAGCAAAAAGGGATCGATTAGTGAATCCATTCGTACTAAGATTAAATCGGGCGTGTCCCTCTACAGGAGGAATGTTCAAAAATAGTACGATAATAATCCGGGGACGACTTTTTGACTAAATTTGAGCGTGTTTGATTCATGTTTGGGTCTTTGCTCTTTCCCCAGATGCTTCGTGGGGTTCTCTTTTTCTTCCCACCCGCGCCGCACCCGCGTCTCACCCACACCCGCCCCCGTCCCCTCCTCCACCTCCTCCTCCTCCTCCTCCTCCTCCTCCTCACCTACACAGCACAGCACAACACAGCACTGCCCAGAACAGTTCAGCGCAGCTCAGCACAGCACGGCACAGCACATCACAGCACAGCACAGCATACCGCAGCAAAGACAGCACAGGCAGATCGTGGCAGGAGTGGCACCTTCTCGACACCACAGGGGGTGCGCAGAGGGTGGTCCCTCAGCGCAGCCTCTATCCGTGACACGCTCGCAGATCGTGGCAAGAGTGGCACTTTCTCGACACCACAGGGGGTGCGCAGAGGGTGGTCCCTCAGCGCGGCCTTTATCCGTGACACGCTCGCAGATCGTGGCAGGAGCGGCATTTTCTCGACACCACAGGGGGTGCGCAGAGGGTGGTCCCTCAGCGCGGCCTCTATCCGTGACACGCTCGCAGATCGTGGCAGGAGTGGCATTTTCTCGACACCACAGGGGGTGCGCAGAGGGTGGTCCCTCAGCGCGGCCTCTATCCGTGACACGCTCGCAGATCGTGGCACGTGACACGCTCGCAGACATCGTGGCAGGAGCGGCACTTTCTCGACACTGCAGGGGGTGCGCAGAGGGTGGTCCCTCAGCGCGGCCTCTATCCGTGACGCGCTCGCAGATCGTGGCAGGAATGACACATTCTCGACACCACAGGGGGTGCGCAGAGGGTGGTCCCTCAGCGCGGCCTCTATCCGTGACACGCTCGCAGATCGTGGCAGGAGTGGCACTTTCTCGACACCACAGGGGGTGCGCAGAGGGTGGTCCCTCAGCGCGGCCTCTATCCGTGACACGCTCGCAGATCGTGGCAGGAGTGGCACTTTCTCGACACCACAGGGGGTGCGCAGAGGGTGGTCCCTCAGCGCGGCCTCTATCCGTGACACGCTCGCAGATCGTGGCAGGAGTGGCACTTTCTCGACACCACAGGGGGTGCGCAGAGGGTGGTCCCTCAGCGCGGCCTCTATCCGTGACACGCTCGCAGATCGTGGCACGAGTGGCACTTTCTCGACACCACAGGGGGTGCGCAGAGGTGGTCCCTCAGCGCGGCCTCTATCCGTGACACGCTCGCAGATCGCGCAGGAGTGGCAGTTTCTCCACACCACAGGGGGTGCGCAGAGGGTGGTCCCTCAGCGCGGCCTCTATCCGTGACACGCTCGCAGATCGTTGCAGGAGTGGCATTTTCTCGACACCACAGGGTGTGCGCAGAGGGTGGTCCCTTCGCGCGGCCTCTATCCGTGACACGCTCGCAGATCGTGGCATGAGTGGCACTTTCTCGACACCACAGGAGGTGCGCAGGGGGTGGTCCCTCAGCGCGGCCTCTATCCATGACGCGCTCGCAGATCGTGGCAGGAATGGCACTTTCTCGACACCGCAGGGGGTGCGCAGAGGTTGGTCCCTCAGCGCGGCCGCTATCCACGACGGTCGTCCAGGGCATAGCATGCGTGGCACTTTCTCGACGCCATAGGGGGTGCGCAGGGGGTGGTCCCTTACCGCGCCCGCTATGCAGGACTGTCGTCCAGGGCATAGCAGGCGTGGCATTTTCTCGACACCACAGGGGGTGCGCAGAGGGTGGTCCCTCACCGCGCCCGCTATGCACGACGGTCGTCCAGGGCATAGCAGGCGTGGCATTTTCTCGACACCATAGAGGCTGCGCAGGGGGTGGTCCCTCACCGCGGCCGCTGGCTGGCTCGAATCTGTCCTCGATGGAGGATGGAAGGCTAGTGACAGGGAGGAGGTTCAAGCAATATGGCGTTGGATGACACATAGGGGAACATTCGCGACGAGGGCTCAGAACGCAGAATTGCGCATATGTTATAAACTTAAGCAAACACATAAGATGTAAATTAAGTATGTGGGGTTCCTCGGTTGCGTAATTTTCGCTCAACTCCGCCTGTAGGGGGACACGCCCGTTCTAATATTAAGATTGGCCGTGAGGGCGATCGTGGGATCGATCGAGTGAGCTCGAAAGCGGGGCGTTCGTGACATTACATCGCAGAGCAACATCGTCATCACGCGTCGTCGCTAGCTCGAGGGCGCGTCACCAGCATCGTCATCACCACACCCATCGCATTTGCCAGCAGCCGGTGCGTTCCCCCTTGCCCCCAAACTTCCTTATCACCCGAAGGGTGGTTGCGTAGATACATGTAGATGCCTGAATAAAGAGCCACACAGGTCGCAGCAACACACACGCAACACAACTTACGCCATTTAGCTAGCTCCACATGGATTGCACCACATAGTTGGCACCCCGCAGATTACACCACACGTATGGCACCCCGTCGATTGCGACACATATACTGCGCCATACACAGACTGCACCAGACTGGTTGCACATCGAGAGTGCAACAATTCACTGGTTGGGGTCCGCCCTGGCAAACGTCATACAGAAACCTTGCCAGAACCGACCAGGCATCAGTCACTTGACTATCGCGCAAGCGCGGTGGTGGATATGGAGTGCAAGAACTCAAGGGGACATCCTTTAGCCTCGAGGAAGAGCTCGCAGACGCTCCAGCAACAGGCGTTGGTCCGAACGACTGGGTATCAAATGGTGGTTCATGGCGGCCCGCCTTGTTCATTGTAGGAGGTTTGTCCAATATCCCCCGACTCGTTGTGGATAGGCGGTCGCTGGTTTTGCAGTCTTGGAGTGTAGCCTTCTTGTGCGCGCTGCTGTCTTACATTGGCTTGGCCATGATGGAGTTTTCTCTGGTCCTGTACATTGTTCCTCGTGCCGTCATGTCTCGACTAGCACTTGGAGGCACTTCTTTAATGATTGCACCAGCCGCAGCCGACTTGGCATACGATATGACGCAATTGCGCCACAGATATCAGAGGGTTAAGTTCTTGTTCTCGTTGCTCCAAAGCCTAGGAGGAATGCTGTTATGTCTTGGTCTGGTTGCATGGAGATTTCCCGCATTTGCCAGCAGTCCGACTACGCTTGCCGGTTCGATATTGCTTTCGGTGGCTAAGGCGTTTCAGAACATGAATTGGCACATGGAGGGTGTAATCCAAAGATTTGTTTGGACTCTTTTTGGCTGTAGCGGGTTTGCTTGGATATGTTTTGGCGCCATTGTTGATTGGAATCTGAGTTTGGCTCTAAACTCGCTTGCGTTGAGTGGGGCGACTCTTTCCGTAATTGGCGCATCTGCATCTGAGGCTGGGCATGACAGAGTTCAGAGCATCTCATTGTCTGGCGCCATGATGCTGATTATTTGCGTAGCTGCTTCCGCGGTATGCAGACGATAAAAGAGAGTATTGGATTTCCCAGGCTTCCCATGCCATCAGCATCTCTAGGATGCCCAGAGGCTCTTTCAGGGCTTGTCGGGCCTTCAAGGCGGGTCGTCGAGAGTTTCGGATGCCTGCTCGGCTTTCTGACGTACGGTAGCCGAGGCACAGCGACACGATCACCGAGACCCTCGGCTGAAGCCACCTGCTATCCATGTGCGTATTGATGTGCGTCCCGATTCGATGATCCGAGCGCCGTTGCAGGATTCACTAGCTCAGCGCCCCGTTCAGGAACCTGGGGGTTTACCATTGTGTCGAGGTCGCCAGTTGGTCACCACAGAGGCCAATTTGAATTCCTAACGGACTGGGGCACGCTCGTTGTACTTCACTTCTTTTGTTTCGAGCGCGTGCGGAGTAAAAGATCAGCCAGTCGTAGCACTACTTCCCTTCTCGCGGCAGGGTGTTCAGAGAAGCTGTCGTGGGGGCTCGCTGCTTTCTCTGGATATACCCATTGGGGCACAGCGTTGGGGATTGAGCTCGCTCGCTCCGACCTCGGTCCTCTCTTCCCTCCGTACAGTGCCGTGTTTAATACATGCTCCGCGTGCGGATCATGTATTGAGAATGCAGGGATTTAGTATTTAAATCAACGATGAGTTCATGCATGCATTTATTAGTAATTTACTCAGGTATTAAAAATCCCATGTTTTTTTTATATATATATATATATATAAACATCCCATGTATTAAAATCTGCCCTGTAGCCATTCTGGCTCGGGCTGGCTCGCTCCCATGGCCGCGGCGGCGCAGCCAGCGCCCGCGCTCGACTCTGCGGCTCGTGGCGCCCACGTGGGCCGGGACCTGCTCGTCCTGGCCCACGGCTGGACCTGCTTCCCGCTGCTCCTGGAGTTCGCCGCCCGCCTTGATGGGCCTGTTTTCCACCACCACCACCATAAGTTGCAGGGGGGAGGGGGTCCTTCTTTCTCTCTTGTTCTTCCTCCTCCTCCTCCTCCTCCTCCTCCTCCTCCTCCTCCTCCTCATCCTCCTTACCCCCTCAACTTATGGTGGTGGTGGTGGACAACAGGCCCATCACGCCTCGCAGAGCCGCTCTGCCAGGGCCGGCTGAGCGCGGCCCAGCTCGCCACACGGGCGGGCGTCCGCGAGGCCCCGCTCCGGCTGGTCCTCCGGGCGTGCGGCGTCCTCGGCTACGTGAGCCTCGACCGCGCCGCGGGCACCTACTCCGCCAACAGGGGGCCGGAGCTCGAGGCGCTGCTAGCCTTGCTGGGCCCTCGTGGGCCACTGGCGGAGGCCCTGAGCGGCGTCTACCGCAGGGCGGCCCCGCCGTTCAGGGTGCCGTCGGATGCCGCCCGGTACTGCCTGTCGGTGTGGTCCCAGCATCGCCCGGCGTGGCGGCAGCAGGGGCGCTCTGCTGCGCTGCTGCCGCTGCTGCTGGACGGGGTCGCGCTCACCCCGCTGCTGGTGTCCATGACCTACTTCGCGCGCTGGGACGACCGGGGCGGGGACGCCGAGGAGCGGACTCGGGCGGCAGAGGCCGACTTCGGGGAGCTTGATCCCGACCTGCACGATGCGTTCCTGTCCATGTGTGAGGGCGTCGGCGTCCGGGTGCTGAAGGGCCCGGGCACTCTCAGGGTCCCCGTGCAGAGCTTGGAGGCCCTGACGGCGTGCTACTGCATGTACGTGCCCGCCTCCCTCGCGTCCCTGCTGGCGGGCTTTGGCGGGACCCTTCTCGAGGATGCCAGCTGGGATCCGACTCGCCCGATTTCAGCGGCCGCCTGCCACAAGATGCTGCATGCTGTCGGCAGCCGCGCATGGCACCTGCCGCTGTACGAGGGCATGCTCAGGCAGATCGGACATGCCTTCGGCACTGGGGACGTGCACTCGCAGCCGAAGTTTGTGGTGGTCGCTGGCGCGGGGGACAGCTGCCTCCTCTCGCAGATCCACGACTACATCAAGGAGCACACCGCTCGGGGCAGGCTGCTCGAGGAGCACCCTGTCGTCATGGTCGCCGTCGACCCGGATCTGCGGGCACGCACCGCGGCAGCCGTGAGGTTGGCCCAGCGAAGGGTGCCCCACAAGGTGTTGGACGGCGCTGCCGAGATGACGGACGGGCTGGCACAGCTTCTGGAGCGGAGCGGGGTGCAGCTGGACAGGGCTCTGCACGTGCACGCCTTCCTCCACGCCTGGCCGCACGTCGCTCCGAGGAATCAGGAGTGAAAGAAGGACGTGCACGTACACGAATCCACGCTGGTTTCGAGAGCACGCATGGCGCAAATGTTCGCATATCGCGGCCAGTCTCGCGGATCGAGGGGCCGTGTTCATGTACATAGCTGGGCGCGTACGTCCTTTGTGGGCTCCCTAAGGAAGAGGCTCGACCCCGCGCTGGAGGCGTTCGCGCGGGCGGCCCTGGCAGACGCGGCGTGCACGGACGCCTCTGGGCGGCCGGTCTCGGCGGAGGCGCTGTTCGGGGCCCTGGTGGAGCACTTCGAGCGCTGGCACGGGGTGCTGCACGGCTCCGCGGGCCTGTGCCTGGTGGAGGCCGTGCTGAGCGACGTCCCGACGGGCAGGCAGTTCCTGAGCGAGCACGCCGCCTTCAGCCACGAGATCGTCCAGTCGCTCTCGAGGAGTCGAGGGAGAGAAAGCGGCATAAGCATAAACTTTTGGCTCTCCGCGCGGACTTCTTGGATCTGCGCTGGGCCCCCCGGCGGCGCTTCCAGCGCCGCCCTTGGCGCGCTCCGCTCGCCAGGGAGGAGGGTCCAGCGCAGATCCAAGAAATTCGCGCGGACCTCCAAAAGTTTATGCTTACAGTGGGGGCCCATGCCAAGAGGCACCTTGCTCGCCCCCAGGGTGCCCCGGGCTTCTTGGGTTTCGATGGCTCTGCCGTGGAGAGCGCGCGACGTCCCCCCCACCGAAAATCAAGGGACGTCCTGGGGTCTCTGGGTGGGGTTTCTTGCGGCAGGTTTCTTGTGCACGGGCCTCCACTGTGTGCTGTTTTTTTGTCCAAGGGAGGAACAACCACCTGGACCGGACAATTGGCGTTTACTAAATGGCCCTGGGCGTGCACTGAACAGCCCTGCCCTGTTCAATTATCTCTTTAGGTGCGTTTACTACACGGCTTCGCGTGTCGGGGTTATTCTTATCGGGGTGGATTCTCTGCCCTCCGGTTCTCTTCCTCCCAGGAAGGGCATGGTGTCACCGTCGGCGCTCTGCATGGCCGCCGCGGCGGCCGGCCTGCTGCCAGCCGACGCGAGGACCGTGCAGGCGCACCCGGCCGAGAGCAGGCACTGCTGCGCGGTGATCGGGACGATCGGGACGGGTTCGCGAAGGATCAAGCAGCGGCGAAGCGTCCTGGCGTGCCTATAGGCCTACCAAGCCATGCTCCAAGAACCTTCTGTGGCTTCCACGAGATATTCTGAGAGCACTGCTGGCTGGGACTGTCTTCCTTTAAACATCGGGTTTGGGTTATGAGAGCATATTCTGTTCGTAGAACAGTATTGCCAGGAGGGCCGGTCCCTGCTCAAAAAGAATGGGTGCAAATATCAGTATCGTTTAACCGATCCCTATCCCCATCCCGATCCACATCTCGAGCCCCACCGTCTCACCACCCCAGTTGGAAACATATGCCCCTCGAAACCCGAAAAGAGAGCAGCCTAGATCCCCATCCAGGGGGGTAAATCGGCCAGTGGGGCCCGGCCCGCGCTGGTGGGGATGGGGATCGGTGAAACGAGGCTCAGAAGACCGACAGCAGTTCTTGTCCCTTTCGAATCGAGCTCGCTGTCGGCGTCGCCGCAGACGCTGTCCATGCGAGGCAGAGAGCCGCTGGTGGTTTTGGACAGCACTCGCTATTGGGCGCACTGTGCCCCTTTCCCCGAGGTGAACCTGCGCCTCGTGGCCAGGCCCTTCCGGGTGCGGCTCGCGATGGCCAGCGACCTGCCCGACCTGGTCCGCCTCGAGCTCGTCGCCTGGGAGGAGCACCTGCGGACCCCGCGCGAGGGCCTGCGCAGGCGCCTGGAGGCGGCGCCGCTCGCCAACTACGTCTGCGAGCTGGACGGCCGGGTGGTGGCGGTGCTGTACACGCAGCGGGTCTCCGACCTGGGCGCGGTGCAGGGGCAGCAGTTCCAGCGGGCCTCCGACGCCCACGCCCCGGGCGGGCGCCACGTGCAGCTCCTCTCCATCGCCGCGGACCCGGGGAGGGTCGGCCTGGGCCTCGGGTCGGAGCTGCGGCAGCTGGCCCTGCTCCTCGCAAGGCCCCGTGGGCCGCAAGCAGGTCCGCGCCGGTGTGTGACCGCCCTTCGGGTGACGGAGAGGTTCGGGTGGGGGGGGGGAGGAGCCAACGTCGCACTCGATCGATCTCACTGTCGACCTCACTAGCGACCTCACAGCGTTCTCACTTTTTCAATCTCAGTGTCGGTCTCACTAGCGATCTCACCGTCGGTCTCACAATGTCGACCTCAGCACTATGGGTCTCGCAACCGATCTCACTATCGACCTCACTATCGACCTCAGCACTATCGGTCTCGCAATCGACCTCACTATCGGTCTCACTATCGATCTCACTATCGATCTCACTATCGATCTCCCTATCGGCCTCAGTATCGATATGACTATCCCTTTCATTGTCGATCCCACTATCGGTCTCAATGTCGCTCTCACTATCGGTCTCACTATCGATCTCACTATCGATCTCATCGCGGAGCACTGACGGGACACCGTCGGGACACCGATTGGACACCGACGGGACACCTGCGGGACACCCGCGGGACACCCCTGGCCACCGCCAGACAAACCGGGCGGGGCGGCCTTTTGGCCCGTCGGCGCCCTGGCCAGAGGAGGGTTCCTTCCTCTCGCCCGCCCACACAGCTTCGCCTCGCCAGCACGCACGGCACGAGCATGAAACCGAAACGATCTCCCGGTGGCGCTTCGCATCGCTCGGACGTGTGCATTTTTCCTTCGGCGAGGACCATCTAGGAGCATCCTTGATCATTTATCTGGCGAAAAAGCCACGCACGAAGCCGACACAAAAAAGCACGCGCGAAACCCGAACAAACAACCACGCACGACACCGAATTATCCCGGCAAAGCAACCTAACAGCGATGTGTAGGAGCATATCTGGAAGCATCCCCCTTAAGATTCAGATGAGAATCCAGTTGTAGGGTTCTGCTGTTCTCGCAGTCGTAGTCGCATTCGCTATGACAGTCGCAGTGGCCTGCATTAGCCTCAGCCTCAGCCTCAGCCTGCCTCAGCATCAGCCTCAGCCTCAGCTTCAGCCTGCCTCAGCCTCAGCCTGCTCCTGCATCAGCCTCAGCCTCAGCCTGCCTCAGCCTCAGCCTCAGCCTGCCTCAGCCTCAGCCTCAGCCTCAGCCTGCCTCAGCCTCAGCCTCAGCCTCAGCCTGCCTCAGCCTCAGCCTGCCTCAGCCTCAGCCTCAGCCTGCTTCAGCCTCAGCCTCAGTCTGCCTTCAGCCTCGGCCTCAGCCTCAGCCTGCCTCAGCCTCAGCCTGCATCAGCCTCAGCCTCAGCCTCAGCCTGCCTCAGCCTCAGCCTGCCTCAGCCTCAGCCTCAGCCTGCCTCAGCCTCAGCCTCAGCCTGCTTCAGCCTCAGCCTCAGTCTGCCTTCAGCCTCGGCCTCAGCCTCAGCCTGCCTCAGCCTCAGCCTGCATCAGCCTCAGCCTCAGCCTCAGCCTGCATCAGCCTCAGCCTCAGCCTCAGCCTCAGCCCTCAGCCTCAGCCTCAGCCTCAGCCTCAGCCTCAGCCTCAGCCAGCCTCAGCCTCAGCCTCAGCCTCAGCCTGCTGCCTCAGCCTCAGCCTCAATCTGCCTTCAGCCTCGGCTTCAGTCTCAGCCTGCCTCTGCCTCAGCCTGCATCAGCCTCAGCCTCAGCCTGCCTCAGCCTCAGCCTGCCTCAGCCTCAGCCTCAGCCTCAGCCTGCCTCAGCCTCAGCCTCAGCCTGCTTCAGCCTCAGCCTCAGTCTGCCTTCAGCCTCGGCCTCAGCCTCAGCCTGCCTCAGCCTCAGCCTGCATCAGCCTCAGCCTCAGCCTCAGCCTGCCTCAGCATCAGCCTGCCTCAGCCTCAGCCTCAGCCTCAGCCTGCTTCAGCCTCAGCCTCAGTCTGCCTTCAGTCTCGGCCTCAGCCTCAGCCTGCCTCAGCCTCAGCCTGCATCAGCCTCAGCCTCAGCCTCAGCCTGCCTCAGCATCAGCCTGCCTCAGCCTCAGCCTCAGCCTGCCTCAGCCTCAGCCTCAGCCTCAGCCTGCTTCAGCCTCAGCCTCAGTCTGCCTTCAGCCTCGGCCTCAGCCTCAGCCTGCCTCAGCCTCAGCCTGCCTCAGCCTCAGCATCAGCGTGCCTCAGCATTCAAAATGTGGCCAGGGAATGGAGTTCTGGGAACTCGAAGAACACGAAGTGGCCTACAGTTGGCTCCGGGCATTCAAAATCATGCCCAGGAATGGAGTTCTGGGAACTCGAAGACCACGAAGTGGCCTACAGTTGGCTCCGGGCATCCAAAATGTGGCCCGGGAATGGAGTTCTGTGGAACGCCGGGAATGGAGTCTGGGAACTCCACGAAGTGGCCTACAGTTGGCTCCGGGCATCCAAAATGTACGCCGGGAATGGAGTTCTGGGAAGTCCAAGAGCACGAGGTGGCCTACAGTTGGCTCCGGGCATCCAAAATGTACGCCGGGGATGGAGTTCTAGCAGCGCCAAGAGCGATTTTGCGAGGATGGCCGAGGCGATTTGGGCTTCGGCGGCAGCCGCCCCGGGTCCCGCCCGGACCCCCCTGTGGAGACATCTGCTGCTCTCTTTTGACACCACTAGAATCCTATCAGTCTTCGCTGTTAGGTAAAAGCACAGGGATTGGACGTCCGAGCGACGGCCCGGTGCGGGGGGCGCTCCTTCTCGCTGCGGCTTCCACGCCCCCTCCCGCCTCCGGCCCCCCCGCCTTCCTCGAGCCTGGGCCCTCGGCCCGCGGCCCCGCGGGCACACAGAGGGCGCGTCTCTCGTCGCGGCTGCCCGGCGCGGAGCGTCGCCATGCGACGGCAGGAGGAAAAACAAAAAAAACGCACAGGCAGAATTCCTCGTCGCTCCCCAGGGAAGCATATGGGAACATATGGAAAGTCGGGGGGGGAAGACGACAGCCCAGAAACTGCGGGAACATATGGGGGATCGTTTTATTCGTGTGTATTGATTTGTGTGTCCTTGGGCCCCTTCACGACTGCGTATCCACGGGATCGCGCCCAGAATCCAGACCGCGAGGGCGTGGAGATGGGTGCGCTCGCCGCTCGTGACAGGCTGGACCCTGGCACGGACAGCGTGTGCGCCGTCACGCGCGCGAAGGGCTCCGAGTTCCGCGGCTTCGCGGGCTCCATGGAGGCCTACCTGGCAGAGCACGTGGCCGGCCGCCGCGTGGACCCGATCGTGAACTTCCACACCAGCTTCGGGGCCAGATTCGTGCGCCTGGTGGCTGGCTTCCGGCCCGAGGATGTGGACAATCAGGGCATAGGTGGGCGACGCCAAACGCCAAAAATCGGAGGAGGAACAGGTACCCGCACCCCCACCCTTTGCCCGCTCTCCCCTTCTAGGGGCCTCCTGGACGGCCCTCGTCGCCACCGCCGGATTCGCCTCGAAATCCTGGTCAGAACGCACCCAGGGAGAGGCCCGGGGAGGAGCGGGATCGGTACTTTTTTGTTCCCACCCAAAAAACGCTTTGTCTTCGCCGACATTGGCGCGCAAGCTGCCCGCGTGAGGTCGCGCGTGAGCCGCAGGCCCCCTCGCTGCCAGCGCAGCGTGCGGCGTTGGTGGCCCGCGTGAGCCACCGCATAAGACCGCGATGCCATCTCGCTCAGGACCCGTTCTTGATCGTCGCTCCGGTGGCTGGTCGGAGTGGTCACCATGAAGTCGAAGAATCGGGTCGGGCGAAAGGGGGGGATTGGGAAAGGGGGGGTTACGAAATCTGCTGCATGCAGCTGGTTTCGGCCTCACCGAGGGGCCCGTTCCTCGATACATGGCCGCCTCCGGCGCCGGGAGGCGCCGGGAAAATCAGCTACGTGAGCTGATTCTCAACCCCCCCCTTTGCTATTATCCCCCCCTTTCGCCCGACCCGAAAGAAGCAAACAACTGCACAGCGCAGATGATCGGCGCTGGGCGCCCAGCGGCACGTCGGGCGCCGCCGGGGGTCCAGCGCCGATGCAAGGAATCCGCGCCGAACTCCGAAAGTTTCTGTTTAGGTATGCTGATTTGGAGGAGCAGGAGGAGCAGCAGCAGCAGCAGGAGGAGGAGGAGGAGGAGGAGGAGGAGGAGGAGGAGGAGGAGGAGGAGCAGGAGAGGAGGAGGAGGAGGAGGAGGAGGAGGAGGAGGAGGAGGAGGAGGAGGAGGAGGAGGAGGAGGAGGAGGAGGAGGAGCAGTTGGAGGAGCAGTTGGAGGAGGAGGAGGAGGAGGAGGAGGAGGAGGAGGAATATAGGAGGAGGAATGGGAACTAGCTGGGTACGAAAAGAACGGTGACGAAACCTGGCAGCAGTTCCTTCCCATTTTGAGCAGGGTTCGTTGCCGCTGTCGCCGCGGGCGGTATCCGTTTGAGGCAGAATGTCGCCTGCCTAACAGCGGCCGCTGTCGGTTTGGTGCAAAACTTGTTGCTGGGCATCGTGCGCATGTTTTCCGTGCCCGCTTTGGGCATCCAAAAGAGAACGGGTCCTGAGGTTTTCGTCGTTTTCGAGATCTTGGGGCTGGCCACAGGACCCAGGACCGTCAGTGACGACTGGGGACGAAAAGCTGGTCCCAGGGTTAAGTCGGGCCTGTCCCTCTACAGGGGGAATATCCAAAAATAGTAAACATAGCCAGGGGATTATTTTTTGAGCAATTTTTTTGCATCATTTGAGTATTTTTTGAAGTATTTGTTTAGTTTTCGCTTAGTATCCCCCTGTAGGGGGACAGGCCCGACCTAGAGCTGGTCCCAGGGGAAGGCCCCCAGGGTCCAGGCCCCGTTTCCCTCGGGACCTGTCTCCTGCATGTCAAAGGTGTGCTCATCCAGTGCAAATCCCCAATCAGTGCTTGCACTGAAGGGGTCCTAGCGGAAGTTGAAAGATTTGGCGAACGTTCCCGCCGAAATTGGTAGCGGGCTGGGTTCCCAGGTTCCCGGTTCCGGGCTCCTGGGTTCCTGGTCATTGATTCCAGGCCGATTTTCGGTGGGTTCTGGGTTCTGGGGGGCTCCCGGGTTCCCGGTCGATCTCTTCAGCGAAAACCATCCACTGATTGGGGCTTTTCTCTGGTGTAGTTTTCCTTCATGTCAAAGGTGTGCTCATCCAGTACAATGTCCAGGAGTTGTCCAGGATGACGGGGTCATCGGAGGCCGCCCCCGACGCGCCCGCCGGCACCGCGCTGGAGCGTCACATGCCTTCTGGGGAGCTGCTGGCCCAGATCATGGAGCGCCTCGGCTACGAGGTGGATCACGAGAATCCGTCGCGGGGCTTCTTCGACTACGGCATGGATTCGCTGGAGCTCGTCCGCATGCAGAACAGCGTCTGCGGAGCCCTCGGCATGCAGCTCCCGGCCACGCTGGTGCTGGACTTCCCCAGCTACGAGGCCCTGGAGGACGAGCTCGATCGGAGGCGGGGCACGGGCTCGTACGCGAGGGGCGAGGGCTGGAAGCAGGAGCCGGTGGGCCTCGGGTCGGCAGCCGAGGGCCCCGAGGACGGGGCGCAGACTGTCTGGAGCTCTCTGACCGCCCGCGACGTCGTGGCCATCCAAGGGGAGTGCAGGGCGGTGTATTCCACAGCCGCGTACCAGAAGCGCTTCGGCGACTACGCCCGCAGGTGCTACCCCGACATGGCCATGTACTGCTTGGCGATCGAGCCGGTGCTGTGCGAGGTGGAGGGCCCCATCCTTCTGGAGCGGGGCCTCGTGGCCGCGACGGACTTCGCGACCGTGCAGCAGGCGCGCACCGAGCTGGCTGGCAGGGCGCTGAAGTTTTGGGCTTCGGTGCCCGAACTACGGAGCAGGGCAAATGGCGAAGAAGGAACAACGCCATGAGCATAAACTTTTGGCACTCCGCGCGGATTTCTTGGATCCGCGCTTGGCCCCCCCGGCGGCGCCTCCGGCGCCGCCCCTGGCGCGCTCCGCGCGCCAGGGAGGGGGTTCCAGCGCAGATCCAAGAAATCCGCGCGGAGCGCCAACAATTAATGTTCATGTCGTTTTCTCTTTTTCTAAAATGAGATTGCGCATCTCACCAAGGTAGATCAGATCTGGTCCTGA